AGCTTTGGGCCGTTTTATATGTAAAGGGCGCGGGCGGGATCGAAGGACGTAAACGTACACACTAGGATGGAAGAAGAACTGCGATATGCCTCCCAATATCATAATCACACCTACGACGAGGTTGACGATTCGGCTGCGGTGCGAAACATGTTAGCGCCGATGCGATTTGCGCAGTTCGTAGGATAATCAAGATTGAACGTCATTGATGACTTGGACAAGATGGCACCACCCAAAGGAGGCCAGTAATGCAACGACAATGAAAATCCGTCGAGTTGTTGAGCTATGGCTGAGACTTACAAGGAGTCTGAGATATCCATTTTGGCTGTATAAAGTATTTTGGTATCTCCGGGTGCAGCTGGATATGTCGCGTTGGCCAGAGATAAAACTTCCCCGGGAAAATCTGAAGTAGCCGACTCGAGGTTTAAATCCGCGAGGTCTTGTGTGGAAATGATAAGGACGCGTCGCTATTCACTAGGCAGGCGCTTTCGGGAGCTTGTCCTTCGTTGAGCTGCTTCCTCGAAGCTATTTTGATGGGGCAGTCGTCGTCATCGGGACCCCCTGATTGGGCTTATCTAACATAAAAGATCCTTTAGAAATCAAGCCACATAAATCTTGGAAACACTAGCCACAACATTGCCACATCCACCCATTTCGGGTAAGGTCGGGCTGGAGCGACGCTACATCCTGCCTATCGTACATGTACCTACGTACCTACTCGTACCACTGGCCGAGTACCCATCTCCCAAAGCGTCGCTGCGATAAATAGTCGTGACGTGAAAATCGCGAGTAATTTCCGCCTCACGGTTGTCTAGTTCTATCCTACCTTGAATGAAGTTCACACCATAAAATCGACATTGCTCCCGCGCGAAAACCTCTATATCACAGACATATAACTTTCTTGACCTTTGGACTGTGCTACAAATCATTGCACAGTCATAATAAACCTACCCCTCGTTTCTCTCACACTACTTTATGCAACTAGAGCCTGCTGAAGCTTCGACACAGACCCAGCATCGGACCTACTCCCAATACTCCCAATCTTCCGACCAATATGGCCCCCAGTATGATGCGAGTGGCTCAGTTCGCGGCTCACTGCAACAGCGAGGCAAAGACATGTCTATCTCGCCGCAGTCTGTCGGCGAGAGCGAATCGCTCAAGTCTCTCGGACAAGCTGTCAATCCGGATTACCTCGAAGCACGATTGCGCGGACTGAATGTCCACGACCTGTCCTCTAATGGGACGAGCTCGACGCCGCACGCCGGCCAGCGGATTTCCGAATACGAAAATGCATTGACTCCTACCTTCCCTCGACAAGCCCTGGGCTTCAAGGTCATAAAGCGTGCCGACAACGAGACAGCGCGCGTCAATCTTGAAGATTTTCCTAATGGTATGCGTCTTGCTTCTCTGTTCTGCGCACTTTTGTTAATCTGTACATGCAGAGATCTTGACCCATATTCTGTCGCATTTACATCCCGACTCGCACTCTTCTGTAGCCTTGGTATCTAAGCGGTTTTACTCGCTGGTCACAACTCCCCACACATGGCGTATGGCATTTAAGCGCTTCTTCCCCGCACAAGACGCTTTGATTGCCCGCAAGAAGCCACAAGGGCTGCCATGGGGCGACGAGGATGACGATACCCTCCGTTCCGAAGTGCGGGTCTTCACCCGACTTACTCCACACGCTTCTTGGCGTAGCGAATACCTTTTGAGAACGCGTCTGCTCCGCAGTCTATCTAGAGGCAAGCCTGGAGCAAATTCGGGCGGAGTCGGTACGTCCACACGCGCTATCCACACCGGCAAGAAGGCTGCAGCAGTCTTGACCTACAACACCAAGCTACCCTCGGTTGTTACACATGTCCATGCCACCTTCAAACCCAATGGCAAGAAACCGCCACGCGTCGTTCATGGTGCTGCAGACTTTGGTGTTGGCAGCGCAAGCGACCCCACGGTTGGAAAGGTAGAAAAATGGGGTCTTGACGACCCTTTTACCCTTGCCCAGCTTGACGAGGTCATGCCCATGCTCATCCCTTATGGCATGGGAGAAGGACCTGCCGCTGTGCCTAATGTCATGGACGTAAGCCAACCTTATGGTCTCGTCGGGGGCGAAGGATTTCCTGGTGGACGTGTATTCTTCCGCCCGACTGGAGAATATAGGGGCAAGTATCTTGGCCAAGAAATAGGCTTCATTGAAGCCCATCCGGATATTCCCAAGGTTCCCGAGCTCTCCGAGGGTATCTGCTCCGTGTGGATTGCAAAATCGTCCTCGGTTCCTACTGTCACCAAATCCATGGTTGGTATCATGACCGGCTCGTCCTTGGGAGTTGTGACCTCGTATGCGCTAGGCTACGATCCCTCCGTCCCCCGATATACGCCCGGACAGATGACTGCTCGATGGGTGTTGAGTCCCGGCGTCCCAATCATCGCGCTAAGAGTCGACGATAGCTACAGCCAGAAGAGGAAGGCGCTCAACCGTGTATGGGCAGTTGCTCTCAATGCTTTGGGCGAAGTGTACTATATGACACAACCCCCGTCCCCGCCGGCCACCAAGAGCAAGACGGATGACCTTGTCAAACTTGCGTGGCATACGGGACGTACAAATTCGTGGCATCTCGTGGAAGCCACCCGGAGGCAAGCCCGTCCCGACGACTCGGGAAGAAATGCCGTTCGTGGCACCTACTCTCCGAAATCCCCTTCAAACTCTATGAATTTGACCAAGGATCAAATGGTGGCAGAGGCGCGAGAAATCGAGAAGTTCCTTCGTTATAAACCATCGCACTTCCGAAAGGTGTGCTATGGCTGGGACATGCGCCGAAGACTCGAAGTGGATTTCGCTAGCGATGACGGACTTGGTGCAGGAGAGAGTTTCTTCATTGTGGACTGCGCACTGGACACCGACAGCAGCACATGGTCTCTAAAACGCTTCACCCGAAGTATGGTGAACTTGGCACAGACAAGTGCCGCCTCTTACGAAGCTGTAGGATCCCCACCACCGCCACCAGTAGCGCACGAATCCATATTTGGTGGCGGAAGTGTCAGATCGTCGTCGCCGAACTCGTCGAGCTCGCCACTTCTCAAACGTGTCCTGTCGTCATCAGCGAAACAATTGGCCTCGCCGACTTCTGACGCGTGGCGACCGGAATCTGACGACTGGCTCGAGACTACGTTTTCATCGAAAGAGATGGGCAATGTGACAATCACTACAAGCGCTGTCGACAACTCGCTGCTGGCATTGGTCGCATCTTTTGAGGATCCCCTAAGGGATGGCTCTACTCCTTCCGCGAGTGGGTCCGCAACACCATCTGGACAATCGCCTTTGGACATCCCAGGACGTAGAGCAAGGTTCATCGGCATGGGTACGAATACTGGGAAAGTCGTGCTTTGGAATATGCGAGCGAGGCATAGCGGTGATGGCATCTTCCCGGTTCGCGTCATTCAAACCGAGTCTCCTCAGATCACCGCCTTGGCTCTGTCTGCCCTTTACTTAGTTCATGGCGGAAGTGACGGATTGGTTCAGGCTTGGGATCCTTTGGCTTCCACGTTGGATCCTGTGCGCACCGTGAATTCCCGTTCGCCCGGTCGTACGCCCCGCAATCTTCTCGCCCTGAACCCGGCCTTGACCAACACAACCTTTACCGCCGTCAGTGCCATCTACCTTGACCCGGACCCTACGGTCCTTCATGGCATCGTCGCTTTCGGTACGATAGTGCGGTACTGGGCCTATAGCTCCTCTAACCAGGGTCGGGGTCGTAAACGCAGGCTTCGACATTCGGATGTCCAAGGTCGTCTCGGCGGACGACGCCACGGTGGCGGGGTCAAGGGTTATATTGCTGCTGAAGCGGAAGAGCTTCATGATGAACAACGACATGAAGCTCGGGAGCAGGCTCGTCTTAGAGCCCGCTTCGGCGTTGGGATTAGCAATATGACCGAAGAGGAGGCGCTTCAGTATGCCGAGATGATATCTCAAGAGACATTCCAGCTGGAGGAGCATCGTCGGGCAAGTGCTAGTGACACTGCCTCGGCCGCCGACTTGGACACCACTTCGACTACTGGGAGCATGGATACGATCACTCCCGACCCCAGCGTGACTGAGCTTAGCCCCCCAACAGCCGAGGCCTTGGATGAGAGCGATTATGAACTGCAGATACAGACGGCCATCCGGCTGTCCTTATTGGAGGGCGTGAATGACCTTGGGCGGTCCCCGAAAGGTCCTAGCTCGGGCGAATTTGACGGACCCATTACTTCGAAAGAGAAGAGAAACAAGCATTCATTCTCTAGTTCGCCATCGTCGAGCCATACCCCTCTGGTACAAGCAGACCCGTCGTCAAGCGCGACTATTTTGAACGACGCAGTTGCCGACGACGATCTGGAATTAGCGCTACAACTAAGTCTAGCCGAAGAGGAGAGCAGAAGGGATATGCTTCTGTTGCATACTAGTGAAGAAGAATTTCCATCCCTAGGCGGAGATGGACAGGGCAAAGGAAAGGGCAGGGCGATGTAAGATGTTGCGGGTTGGTGATGTACCGCCTAAGAGGTACCGATCTTGATTTGATTTCACTTCTTTGGTGATTCTCTTGACCTGCTACGGGTCGAGAGGTCCTTATATTAGTTCGAGCTTGAGGTTTTAGAAATACATACATAACATCCTGTAAATCTGCTTCCGGCACCTGTTTGAAGTCTCATTGATTTTGTCAGTCCAAAGGCATTCGTGCCACCGTTTGTATAACCTACCTACTGAAATTTCTTAGCCCCATCCAATCAGAACTCAACCCAGCCTAGAATTATTCTAACGCCAATAAACCCTCCGCCTAACTCGATCGCACCTGTCACCTGCAAATTTCGCTACTATTCAAGATCATCCTCTGTCCCTAAAACCACACACCAGTTTAAACCCATCTTTTAATTCTTCATAGCTTACAATCCCTCTCTCATTTAACATATAAATAATATTACCATAACAATTTCCCATCAGCAAATCATGATTCATTGATTTGGTCTAACCAGGTCTGGTGGTCTAGTGGTATGATTCTCGCTTAGGGCTCACCCTACAGCAACGCTTGCGAGAGGTCCCGGGTTCAATCCCCGGCCAGACCCTGTTGTTTTTTTTTTCTTTTTTTTTTCTCTTTTAACTGTTAATTAAGTTAACCCTTTTTGTTCTCTTTTAACAAACAGCTTTATGTTATTTAAGGTTATATATAAACGCAAAGACAAGGAGGGGGGGGGGCCGGGGGGGATTGTTATCTAACTAACCTAGACTGAATATATAAAAACTGCTTTTATACTCGTATATGCAAGTTTGTTAGGTTAGATATATAAGATAGGTAGTGTATCTAGCCGGCGTGTGTAAAATCAGTCAGTCAGTCAGTCAGTCAGTCAGTTGATCTAAGAACCTTATTAGTAAATGCACATAATATAAAGTACCTACCTTACCTTTGCCTACCTATGTACGTAACTTATACCAAACTCGCGGGAATCCAGGCCATGCATGGGCTCCCTCGGTATAACAACAAAACTTAACATGAGGAGCAAAATAACGTCGGGAACATCCGGCAAAGCAATTCAAACAGCATCTCTCATATTATTATCACTTAACATGTGTACTCTGAAGGGGCAGGGAGGGACTGTAGGTAGATAAGTAAGTTCACGTATTTTCTAGGAAGTAGGTAGATCCCTGTAACCTAGACTAATGCTTGGATTATCTTTTCTTCTTATATTTATTTCGGGTGTGGAGAGCTTTTTTGCGGCATCTCATATCTACCTATATACAATCAAATCGGCCACCGTACTAAAGTAATCCTGCGTGTGGTTTCATCACTCTCTTGTAGGTTGTAGTGTTTTCCAGGATAGCCTTCGATCCTGGCCTATCGCTGGTAATCCTGACTGTAGGCGGTTCGACAAGCCAGTGTAAGTTTCGTCTTCGTCCTGCCAACGTCCTAGTTTTCGTCTTCTGTAAAAAGTAGTTTTGGTTTACTAAGCCACAATTGATCTTCCGGAGGTGTTTTAATCGAAAAACGAATTCCTCAGTCTCGTATCCCCCCCACCCCCCACCCCCCACCCCCAGCTGTGTCAAGCAGCTGTGAAAAGCAAAGCGCATAGGAGGGACATGAAATGGCCACTTAAATCGATAATCATTGCCCGACTGCCCCCAAACTCCGACGCTGGCCCAAGGAAACTATTTCAAGCTCGCCCTGAAGACAAATCTTGGAACAAAATAAATAGAAAGCTCGAGGGGGGAAATCCAGAAAAGGAACGCAAAGAGAAAAAGAATGACACTGAAACCAAAACGAGAAAAAAATCTCGGCGTGTGCCGAGCAAGCCCATGGACACAAGGTACATCCATGTCCCGAGTCGACACAGCATCGTGTACACCGTTGTAAAGCAGCGCTCAGTTTGTAAGGGCGACGGAAGCGTCATGTCACCGCTCTTCCTCCCAGCTATAGCGCTGGTGAGCCATCTGCGGAACATGGATTATATCGTGTCCCTCCAATCTTTCGAGTGCCTCTGCCGCCTCTCGCTTCGCTACTGCCCGCGCCTCCTCCTCGAGTGTATAATTACTTCCCAACGTATCGGCCGTGGACTGCCGCCTCGAGTTATTCGCGGACAGAATCGGCGACATGGGTGGCACCGGAGGCATCGGGGGCAGGCTGATGCCTTGGCTCCTCGCACCCAGGCTTCTCTGCATCATTAATTGGTGCGGGAGTTGAACATTATCCGGTAGAGGTCCAAGACAGACGACATGTGTCGAATCGATCGGTGTCCGCTGGATTGGTGCTGGCGACAAGCCTTGGGGCGGCAAGGAGCCTGTTCCCTGAGAACTCGTAGATGCAACCGAGGATACGGAACGCGCAAGTGTAGCGGGATCGATCCCTCCTGCCGGTGAAGGAGGTGTGCATATCATAGTGGGATTAGATGTTGTCGACCTCGAGAGCGTCCGAGTCGGGAAGAAGCCGGCGATAGGGGACGGATACTCGAGGGGGTAAGTCGAGCCGTCGCTGTGAGGCGTTACGGGAGATGGCATCATATTGCTATAGTTTTCTTGCGAGGGGCTCGACGTAGGAGAAGGTGTATCGTTGTCGACATTCGAGCGCCGGTAGTGGACGTCAATTCGCGGGGGCGCGTGTCCTTCTTTGTTGGCCACGTTCGCAGGCTTCGTCGGGTTCGTAAACAGTTGAGCCCATTCCCTTGGGCGTTCGTATGAACTCTGATGAAGCAGCTCTTTCCCTTTGGGAACTGCAAAGTATGCGCTGGATATGGTGCCGGTAGCGTCGAGTTCGACAGGCGCTGTCGGAGCCGGCATCTCGTACCGTTCATGGCTGTAATCGGCACCAACTTCGTGAGTCTGAGCCTCCACATCGGCGTCCTTGACCTCCTTTTTGCCGCCCTTTTTGCTCTCCAACTCCCTGCCCTCCCTGCCCGACCTCTTTCTCGAACAGCGCGTCTTCATCCGGGATAATGCCGATGCTGCTGGGCAGGAGCTCACGGGGGATTCGGGCTCTGTGGTGGAATATCTCTTATCTTCCTCCGTCTCATTCTCATTCACCTCGTCCTTGGGTCGCTTTCTCCGTCTTACCAGCACAAATATCGTCACGATCACTATGCTTGCCACCAAAGCACCCACGACGATCCCAGCTATCTCGTTCTTCGTCATGTAGTTTCCTTCGTCTTTTACAAGAGGAGGCCCGGGATATGGACTGTTCGGCGAAGTCGGGATCGTCTGGATCGAAGTGTTCCTCAAGGGGTTGTCGGGGAACCGGGCCTTGTGTAATGAGAACTTGCTTGTCTCGTAGTTAGTTATGATGTAAGCTTCTTGTAAGAATGAGCGCCCAATAATCGGCCGGCTTCCATTCTCCGTTCGTTTTAGAGGAAAATAGGGGATCGCTCCGGACCCATAGGGTACCTGACCCTGAAATGGATATTGTATGCTCTGGATGAATGCATTTGCGGATACGGTGATGTTGACGATGCCCGGCATGTCCAAAGGGGTACCCAAGTTGTTTTGGTTATCGGCGCTGGACAAGGTGAAGGTAAAGGAGAGGTCGGGTGCCGACTTGTAACGCTGTAGGTTATCCAGATCTGGGAACAGATACAGTTCGAACGTCTCGTTCCACTTCAGGTCGAGAGCATCAGCGAAGCGGTCGCAGAGCTCCTCCGGGAGCCAGAGATAAGGGGTCGAGCTGTCGATCAAAGCTGTGACGGATTCGTTGAAGGACGATAACTCTATCGACGATGCCGACCAGTTTCCAGGAGCTTGTTCGAAATCTGCCACAGTTGCTGTGATGGCTCGTATCAAGGCCTGCGGTTGTCTCGTGGTCGAGTTCAGGCTAAACTTGATGTCGTGAGGTTCAAAGCGGTTCTCGTCGTAGCCTCCCAATGTCAGGGACATGGGGACGCCCCTGGGACCAGCTGGACTCGGTCAGCATATAACGGGGAGGTGTTTGCTGTATGAAACTCACCATAATAAGCGCCAGGGGTGAACCCGTAGCTGTGGCTCGGGATCACGCCACTCTGCTCTACAAGGGACGCGAGCGGGCCCTGGGCAACTACACCACCGAAGTTGCCCGGTGTGATGCCCAGTCCAAAGAACCCTTGATACGGGTTTGTGTCATTGATGCCAGCAACAAGTAGTTTGTGCAAAGGAGTCTGCCGTCTCCGGACGCTATCGTGAACCACCACCGTCTCCATCCCATAGTCGCCATTGGCATGGACACCCGAAGATCTTAATCCGAGCTGCCATAATCCCATGGGCGACCAGCTGTCTGAAGCATTTCTGTTAAATACGCCCCCGCGCTCATCGTTACAAAGAGGGCCTGGTCAGGGACAGTCAGCAAAAGCGAGGAAAGGAGAAAAGACCAAGTAAGTCTACACAACTATATACATGAACTCGACGGGGACAAGCCTTCTGGCTTCTGACGGCGTGTGACGCCCACATACATGACACGTAAATAAAAGGAAAGCTTACTCGCACACCCGCTGCTTTCTACGGCCCACAGCTCCGAGATACTCGTACTCACGAGAACATCGATTTCCTGGGCCGGCTCTCCAACGAACAGCTTTGTAGAAGACCAGTTACCATCGATGCCATACCTAAGTCACGGTTAACCATTGATTCTCCTCTCCCGGACCTCGACCTCGACCTCGACCTCGAGCGATGAATCGGACTTGCCATTTGAGCGACGGCTCAAGCCATAATGCTTCAAGGTCCCCGGCGTAGACGAGACTAGGCACAAGTAATAAGGCACCGGCAATGGTCGCGATGGTGTGCCTTCTCGACATCGTCTCGCGCGGTTTGTTGCGCCACCTGACCGGTCGTAACACAGGCCCGACGTTACCAATTATCCTCCCGAGGCTTCATGGGCCACGCCGAATTCCACCAGTTCGTCCTATTATCCATCCGCTCCCAGATCCAGGTCGGATTACCTAGTGTTTCGCCCGCTCGAAAACTGCAAGGTCTTATGTGACGGCGTCGCCTGATATACGAGTAGGTATCTCTAATCAGATGAAGAGCGAGTCCAGCTGTTTCCTGGTGATGGAGAATTGGAGGGTAGGTAGGAAACGGTGCAGATTCCAATGGAACGAAATGCTATGGTTTAGTCTAAAATTCAGACAGGTGACAGGGCAGAAGGGTCCTTGCTGGGACCGGAACCACAGTAGGTATTATCGTAGGTATGCCCCCAGATCCTCGAGGTACCTGGCGTATGCTGGACGCTTGCCCTTGTGGTGAGTACCGTCCTGTCGCTCGGGTCCTCCGCTCTAGGGTGCCCAGAGTGACAGGGGCAGGGTTTATGGCTATGTGGCACCTTAGCTAGTCTTGGTTTCGTCAGGGGTCCGGTCAGGGGTGGCGCGTTAGAATCTCCGAGTCCACGCTACGAGTACAACTGCGCTACACGTCCTAACCCAGCACGCTAGTCCAAGGGTACGAGTACCGTCTTACGTGACTGTGAAATGATCGTTTGGCTGACCGTCCATTATCGTTCTTTCCCTGTACCTGTGCGTTATCGATTCCTGACTTAATCCGTATAAGGAATAGCTGGTTCCCAGTTAAACGCGCTGCTGCCGTATTTAGGACCACTCTTCGTTGCCAGCCAGCCACGCTA